GAGCTACAGTCCCAGCCCTATTCTCAGCTTTTAACAGCATTATTTATGTGTTTATGCCATATGCTACATGTTTTGAATATTCCAAATATAAAAATAAACCAAATTAAAATGAGTGCAGGGGAGCTACAAAGTTGTGAACAAAATCTTCATTTCTTCTTGTTATCTTATTCCCCTTAGTTTTTTCAGGGTTGTCTTTATCTCCTCTGGTACTATGTAGTCAAGGTCCTCCGGAGAAACAAAACCAATATGTTATTTATGAATACAATAAATAATGCAAGTATGGAACATGAGAAGCCCCATAATTTGGCATCTGTAAGCTGGAGGGTCAGGAAAGCCAATGATGCAATTAGTTTGAGTCTGAAGGTTTGAGAACCACGTGAGCTAAAGTGTAAATCCCTGTACAAGTTGGGAGATGAGATGAGATGAGATGAGATAAAATGAGTTATTCCAGCTCAAACAGTGAGACAAGTAAAAAAGGAGTAAGTTCATCTTCCTCCATCTTTTGTCCTATTCAGGCCATTAATGGACTGGATGATTTCCACTCATATTGGGGAAGAAGATAGATCTACCTTATTGAGTACATTGTTTCAAATGCTAATTATGTTAGTCAACTTTCACTGGTGTGACCAAAACAGGTGAAAAAGAATGACTTGGAGGAGGTAAAGTTTATTTTGGCTTACCGTTGCCTAGGTTTGGTCCGTGGTCTACAGAGTCCATTGCTCTGGGTCTAAGGTGAGGGAGAACACCATGGTCAAGGGTGTGGTAGAGGAGTGCTGCTCCATTCATGGCAGCCAGGAAGCAGAGAGAGGGAAGGGGGAAGGAGCTTTAGGGAAGATGTACTATTCTAGGGCATATTCCCAGTAACTCACCTCCTCCAGCCATACCCCTACCTGGCTACAGTTACCACCCAGTGCATTCAAAATGATTAGGTTATACCTCTCACAATCCAATCATTTCACCTCTTAACATCCCTGCATTAACAAAGAAGCTTGGGACAGGGAGCTCATCTCATAGCCAAACCATAACACTAATCTTACCCTGAAACACTCTCAAAGACTCACCCAGAAACAGTTTTTAATCTGGGCTCCCTGTTGCCCACTCAAGTTGACATAAAATTAACCATAAATGCACTAAAATATTTTGCAGTGCATTAGCAAGAGTTGGAAAATCTAACCTCTTCATATGAATGTATTCTTTCTGAAGTAATCTCTTTAACTCCTATGTAAGCAATCTATGTAATTTTCAAAATATACTTTAATATATACTACAAACTGTATAAGAAAGAAGCTAAAGTAATGCTTTGTAGACAGACCTATTTTTATTGCTTATAGCCTGAAAGATGTAAAGCTGAGTGAAACGTTATAGTAAGTTATATTTTTGTTCTCAAATATTCACACCTTTTGTACTTTGCAGTGAATGCTCCCTTTGGGAGGTAAAGTCATCCCCACCCCTCTGCTATTGTACTTGGTCATGGCTTTCCCTGGGCAAAGGCATGTGAAACATAAAGGACTATTGTCATATCTGAACAAAAGCTCTAAGAGCCATTGAATGTTGCCCTCTCCTTTGTCCCTCTGCCATGAGAAAAGCAAGTCCAAATTAGGAGCTGGTTCTTCCGGTTTGGGTGGAATAATAAGACTGACATGCATAATAATAGAATATGAATATATGATAATATGAATAATAATATGAATAATAGAACAGACATGCAGATGACCCACTACTGCCAAAATGCAATATGAAAAAAGAGGAGACATTGAGTTTTATTAACACAGCATGATTCCCCATCTTAGGAATGAGTTTTGTTGCTACATTCACAAGGTAACTTTTAGTGAACAGTGACTTTTCCTGGATCCTAATATCATTATTTATAGGCATTTATGCCACATGCTAAAAAAAATCATTTGTTTGGATTTAAATGGTTTTTAAAACAAGTAATTAAGTGTGCTTATTTTCTGAAGGAACTATATCTTAAATACTAAATTAAATATTGAAAAAATAACAGAAGTAAAATTAGTTCATATATTTATGACTATAAAAATATACAGCATTTCTCCATTTAAGAATTATTCTGGAGTTTGGATCAAGATGAAGACACTTGCCTTCTCTGTCCCATTCAAAATTCCCCAAAATATAAAATATTACACAAGAGGGAACTCATAATGGTGCTAGGAAACAACAGTTACATATGGTCAAGAATTTTTTTAAAATCCCTGAGAGAATGCAAAAAGAGGAATCCAAAACCCAAAATACACATGGAGGAATCCTGCCTCTGATCTCTCCACCTACAGCAGCACCAGCGCAATACAACACCCTGTATAGCTTTTCTCACTTCTTTGTCTCACTCTTCCCACATGCTGGCTTCTGCTTCATGACATCATCTCCCAAATAAACTACTTATACACCAGACTTCATTTCAGGACTCTGATATTAGAGGAACCCAAACAAAGACAAGCCTTGATATTTCCTCAAGACCTAGAACCTCACTTCTAACTCCCTTATCACCCCCCTTTCTTTTTCTCTCCTCCTTTCCCTCATTCTCTATGTTCTTTCCAACATATTCACAATTAAACTCAACACCATTGTTTCAAAACTATCTAACTTATCACTCAACCAGGCAGAAAATCTCAGATTCATCTTTGACTTTCTTCTACCACATCTCACATAACCATTTAAATTTCAAGTCCAATCATTTTAATTTTAGTTAATTCTAATCCTTCCCAACCCTGCACACTGCTGCCACCTTGGTTCAGGTCTCATAAACTCATGCATGGATATTATAAACTCAGTTAATAACCAAAGTTCCCTCTCTCCTCATAATTTATCATCTAATCTTCCTGAAGCAAATGCTGGTCACATAGCTCCATTCAAAAGGCTCCTGTGGCATACAATGTGTATGCTACAAAATAAAGCTCTCTTGATCTCAACCTACCTTTGTCCATAACTTTATTCATTCATGCACTCCAAGAGCCTTTCTAACTGAACCACTACTACTCACTCTAAAAGTGCCAGTTTCCCATCTTTGTGCCTTTGCTCACTCTGTCCCCCAAACCAAGAAAGCTCTTGACCCATCTTTCACCATATTCCAAACCTATGTTATATCAGATGCCAGCTCTTTCAAGAAGTTACATAGAGCTTAACCATTTGTAATCTTTTAAAATGTATAATATCTCAATATATATTATCTATTATCTAGCCTTACAAAGTTAGCAGGGAGGGTTCCAGTATTATCCCTATTATATAGATGAGGAAACAAAGGCTTGGAAAGATTATGAAACTTACCCAAGTTCATAATCTATTACGTAGTAAAGACAATGAATCCTGGGCACCCACTGGGCTTATAGCTACATGAGTATGAGTTTTATCTCTGCTAGTTTACTAACAGTTCTTTAAGATTAGAATTTATTGTTAATTTATAACTAAGTAGTGAATGAATAAATGAACCTAAATTTAAAATTGGCATTTCCCCACCTATACATAAAAACTTTACAATAATTGATTGCTGTAATAGCAATAAATAAAATGCACCATCATTTGTTATCTAAATCACAAAGGATGGTATTTCTGATCCACAGATCCACAAATATCCAAATACTTAGTTGCATTTAATGATATTCTTTGAATATTGAAGGATTACAAAAATATAATCCTCTCTTTTTAAAGCTTATTTTAAATTCATTTATTTTAATTATTTATTTCTCATTTTATTCATTTAATTATTACATAATTACTAAGCAGCCTCAAGTGCATCAAAAATTTTGGGGGTTGTTAAATCAACTAGATTTCAGTTTTATGTTTTGCATATGAAAGCCATAGTCTTGGTGTGTGTGTGTGTGTGTGTGTGTTTAGTTGTCTTCCTTATAAGTTAATAGCATAACTGGAAGTAGTTTAAAACAAAAAGGAACATCAATATGACTATATGTGCATGGAAGTCTACAGTCAGCAGCTTTGTGTAGTTTATTAAAAGGTAATTTTTATATTTATTCATAATTGTCTCAGGACATTTTGACATTAGCCCAATGATTGCTATGAGTTGTCAATGAATCAGTAACTATCTGCATCACCAAGCATGTGTTTCAGAAGACATATGTCAATTTACAGGATAATTTGATTACTTTTTATGCTATTAGAAAAAAAAGATGACACATTTAAGCAATCTGATATCCATGAATAGCCAGACCTTTGTGTAGCCTACAAATTACCACTTCTGATCAAGAAGAATGTTATCACATATAATATCACTCCCAAGGTGAGTGTTACCACAGGCACCTCAGACTATCCACTTTATCTGTGTATGTTCACCTTTTCAATTGCATCTGTATGATTTTGTGGATCTATAAAACATTTAAAATCCTATATATCTTACTTTTAACCTATAGAATAATCATAAAAAAGTTTTAAAATATATCATTGAGGGAGAGATGCTGAAGCAAATGCTGGTCTAGATAACTGAAACTCATAAAACATACTTTGACCTTCATTATCAGATATTTCACATCAAAATTGACTTTCTGTCTCAATATTTATCTCTGTGAGACCAAAGAATATCTTCCATATCAGTTACTTAGCTCTACTTGGGACATGGACCCAGCTAATACACTAATACATTCTAAGGTGACCACACAATTCATTTGTGGCATACCCAGGAATTTATAACTTAATCATGTTATAATATACAATGCATTCATAGTCTACTAAGATATCTGAGAATCAATTATAATTCACAGATGTCATATACAAGGAAATGTATTCAATACAAGTTTCTGTCTGTGTTCAGAGCCAATTTGATTTCTAGAACAATAAAAGTTATGAAAGTAAAACCTCTGGATATAATCATTCAACACTTTACTCAAGAAAAAAGAATAAAGATTTTTAAAAAGATGTCTCACTATAGCAACTTACCTTTCCGATGTTTGCTTTCAAATTTAATCAAAAAAATCACTTTTCAAACCCAGACATGACTGTTAAAATATATTCTGATCCCCAGGAGCAAATGAACATACCTCTCATGCATGTAGTCAACTCCTAGCAACAGCTGGATAAACCATTCTCTTATTTGATTTTCTGAAAATATTTTCCCAGATCCTTTATATTCCTGAATTTTATAATCCAGATCTCGGCCCTAAAACAAAACAAAAAAAATCACCTTTCACATACATTTCAGTTAAGACTTAAGATTTTAAAGTCAAGCTTTTTTAATAATGGTAAATAAATAGCAGTCACTGTTTATCATAAAAAAGTGAGGCTTACTACTACTCTACTACTCGTAACTATCACTAATATTCCCTCCTTGACCAAACTCTAGCCAGGCTCCTATGAGCCCTCTTTTCAACTAAGCCTCAACTTTGACTGCTAAAGATTTGAAGAAACACTAATATCATTTCTAGCAATCCAAGGACCTATCCTTAGGATGACAGGAACCACCCCCTTAGAGTGTTTGCCTGAGAAAACACAGAGCAAAAGAGTTTACTGTTGATTCCAGAAAATACCTAAAGATAGGGCCCTTGTCTCCCTGAAGTCTTGGAAGGATGGAAGACTAATTTTAATGATCTCCAGTGAGCAAACCCAATGGGTTTCACATGGGCCAACCTCCATTTTCCTGTTTTTGTAATCTGTTACTGCTCTAACTCTGCTCAGGATCCTGTAGTTCTCCCTCTCCTCCCCTCCATCCTCCCTGAAAACACCCAGTCACCTGTGCAGAAACTGGAATGGAATTCAGTTACTATCAGTTGCTACTGAATATAAACTAAATGTCTGCCTGTGTTTATCTGACACCACTCAAGGGTAAAACCTTTATACAGGAAAAAATTAACACACATACCTCCAACCAAAATCATTTTTATTACATTACCTAAATACGAACCCTAAATAGTACCCTTACATGAATATAAGTTAAAAATGTAAGTCAATAAAATTCAAATTGGTGACATTAATGTAAAGTGATGATGTTTTGATGAAACTAAATTGGTGCTTCCATATGCATTCAACACTGATTGTTATTATATTATTGTTATTATATCTATATATTATATATTATATTATATATAGATTCGAGTTTAACATATCTAAACTAACATGTATAGGTAACTGAATTTTCCTTTTTTCTATTTCCAGAAAAACTTTCAGGAACACAACAACTGTTGGAACTATTTGGGGTCCCAAACACATCATGTAAGCCTTTAGTCAGTCTCTGTCCTATCATTAACTGGTGACAGGTAAAGTTATGATACTTACTATTACTGCCCAAAACTAACTGCGATCCAAACTACAAAACTAGAAATTGCCTGCAGTGTCTAAGATCCTTTCTAATTATGATTGTATTTATGCATTTTAATTACCATAGAAATGAAAATAAGTGTTAACTCCTCTTAGAGAACCCTTATACCTGGTCCCTTTTATTTTATAACACTGAGAAACTAGAGACAATTGAGAAGTGTTTTCTGAAGAAAGGATAGGTTAAATGCAATTATGTTTGGTCTTTGTAGGATGTAAAACACAGGCCCCATGTAGAGGGAGAGAGGTCCTTGCCATGTCCACTGGGATCATGAAAGGAAACATGAAGCTACTCACAAACTATTTATGGCAGAGTCCTTATTAGAATCAAAGGAAAAGCATTTACAGGCAATGAGACAATCCAACTGAAATTACTTGTAATCAAACAACATGAGGTCAACTGACTAATTCACTTGTAATGCATTTTTTATTTCCTTTCAGGATACTGTGCAAATATTTGCTCAGTGTTTTCTCTCCTCTCACACAGAGCCATAACAAGTCAAAAGTATATCAAACATTTGCTTGCAGCCTAGCTCAGGCAGTTTCCTTCTGAATTTTTTTGAGCCAAGTAGATCAAAGTTTATTGTAATTCAAAAATACAGTGAATTCAATATTTGACTACTTAGCAAAAGACTATCATTTCCTTCTCATTCTCCACACCTACTTTTGCTCTCCTCTCTTAAAATTGTATCAGAATTCTATTGCATAATATAAGCTGTATTGTCATGTTTCTATAAGTTGTGCAAACATTTTTTTACAACAGAACATTATAATGTCCTGTAAAGTAGACATGAAAGTCCTTCAAACAAAAAGTGAAGTGTATAGATGCTTGTGTGTGTGTGTGTGTGTGTGTGTGTGTGTTTCCAGTCCCATTTTGCTTTCTGACAAAGAGGACTATATCAAATCTTTCCCTCAAACAAAAAAAAAGTTTAAAACAAAAACAAATCTTCTTTCAATATCTCATAGATTTTTCTGAACATGGTAAAAATTCTTCAGTGGCAGAAATATAATAATCAACATATCAACATATCCTCATCTCCTTCCTGAATAGCTCAGAAGAGTGGGAAGGAAGGAGAAGAGGGGAAGAGATGGGAACAGAAAGGAGAGAAGGAAATCAAAAAAGGAAGAAAAGGAAAAAAGATAGGAAGGTAGAAGAGAGGAAGAGAAAAATAAAAACTGACCTTAAAGAAATACCAGGGGGGAGCTGGGGTTGTGGCTCAGTGGTAGAGCCTAGCACGGGTGAAGCACTAGGTTCAATCCTCAGCACCCACATAAAAATAAATAAATAAAATAAAGGTATTGTGTACAACTAAATGTATATATAGATAGATATAGATAGATATAGATATACTTTAAAAAAAGAAATACCAATGGTGCACATCTGTAATCCCAGCAACTTGGGAGACTGAAGCAGAAAGATTGCAAGTTTAAAGCCAGCCTCAGCAATTTATCAAGACCCTCAGCAACCCTAAGACCCTGTCTTAAAATTTAAAAAATTATAAAAGAGCTGAGGATGTGGTAAAGTGCCCCTGGGTTCAATCCTCAATGCAAAAAAAAAAAAAAAAATGCAATACCAGTGAAGTTGACTGATAGCTAATTGTATCAATCTGATCTTTTCACTTTAGGAAAGCTATGCACAAGCATAGTTATCTCTATAAATATGTCCTTCATGGATATAATTATCTGCCCCAAGTGTAATAATATTGAAATTTGGAGAAATTTGTGCATTAAATTGTATTCCTTTTAGAAATTTATCCCCAAATTGCAATACTGCTTTCCATTTTCTATTGTCATTTTAAACTGCATTATATGAACTTTTACACTTTTTTTTTTTTTTAACTTCTGTACTGTCTTCTTTGTGAGTGAGCAGAATTGCTTCCTCTGGGTAATCCTGCCATAATGATATCATACCCTCTGGGCGACATTAATTGTTACTGCCAATCAACTCTTCACACTTTCTTCTCGTGTAGTGAGTAGAAGTTGTGTGCCTATTTCTTGCACTGATAGTAAAAGCACAATTTCCGCTAACTACATGAATACTTGTATAGACTACTGAGGGGGCGAAATGCATCTTCCATAATAAGTCTCAAAGTGAAATGTCAAAAGGAGATACACAAATTTCTCCTTACCACTGAGTAGAACCATATGAAGAAATTTATCAGTTCTTAGCATTAAGTAGAGGACAATGAGTCAATAGGGAGATGAAAAACCAAAAGGTTAAATTAATCTGAGAGCTAGGCCTTGCACACAAGTTCCTCCTACAATTTTCTTTTATATATTCATCTCCAAGAAAACCTATTTGTTTTGCATTTATCATGTTTTTAATAAACCCACTAGATTATTTTTTAAGGATTTAAATAAGATAGAATACAAAAAAATATGCTTTGCTAAAACAAAGAAAGAAAATTTTGTGAAGCAGTCTGATTTTAACTCAGCAATATGAAAATAATTTATTTCTTAGTTTCTCTAAGCTGTCTTACAAATAACAACCAAATATTTTTGATGAAATGGCACATTTCCGTTCTTGCTACAGTATCTGTAAATTCATTTTGGTTTCTTAACTTTGTCTTTGAGGAATATTTAATGGTGACTTTTATTGCTAAGACAAATTTAATGAAGATTATTGACTTGAACTTGAACCAATATTAATGTTGCCCTTACTCTATATTGCTGACAGAAAATGCTTTCCTTCACTAAAATCACCCCTCAAAAGTTATCGCAAAAGCTTTGATGTTAACTTCTAAGGTTTCAAAAAATCTGTAGCCTAAGCTGCCATTTGGTAGATTAATGGTATCTCCTTGCTTCCCTATCCCTAGTTAGCTGACATCAGATGGACTTTGAAATATCAAGACCTTGAAGAAACAAAGAATGACTCAACTACAGTGTTCTAAACCCCATCTTTGATTGCCATGAAAAAGTTGTGAAAGGATTAGATTTTTAAAAATTAATCCATTTTTAAAGTTGTCAATAGAAGTACTTACAAGCAGTTTAAACCAAAGTACAGCATCCTCAGAAGAAGCCTGAATGCAACAAAGCTGAAATTCTAAAAGACTATATACAAAGGACAAAATCATCTCTATATCATTCTGCCCTATTTCTTCATTTTAAAATTAAAAAGCTTCCCTTATTAATTCAGTGAGTTGACATCTCAAAATGCATTTTTTCCATACCCTATTATATTTCCATCCTTCTAATGTATCTCAAATTTTAGTGTGTACCAGAATATCAAAATTTCTTGTTTATTTTAACTCAGCAGCATGAAAAACATTTATTATTTTGTTTCTCTTAAGCTATGTTCCAAATAAAAACCAAATGTTTTTGATGAAATGGCACATCTCAGTTTAAAAAGTTCTTAGTACAGTATTTGCAAGTTCATTTTGGTTTCTTCCCCCACCCCGCCCACTTTGGAAACACTTTATTGACTATTCTCCCTAGTTGGAGAATATATTTGTATGCAGATAACTAAGAAAAGTTCTCAGTTATTTTCTTTTTTAACAAAATGACAGTGGAATGCATTACAATTCTTACTACATGTATACAGAACAATGTTTGTATATAAAGTATGTTGACACCAATTCGTGTCTTCATACATGTACTTTGGATCATAATGTCTATCACATTCCACCATCATTGCTAATCCCATGCCCCACTCCCTTTCCCTCCCAGTGGTTCCACTCCCAGTTTTCCAAGGAATCTCCATACTGCTTTCCATATTAGCTGTACTAATTTACAGTCTCACCAGCAGTGTATGAGTGTACCTTTTTCCCCACATCCTTGCCAACACTTATTGTTGTTTGTCTTCATAATAGCTGCCATTCTGACTGGAATGAGATGATATCTTAGAGTAGT